CACCGCTCCCCAGCACCGAGCCCCATTCCCCCTGCCACGGGCGATCCCACAGCGCCCTCTGCTGCCGCTACACCCCCCCCCCCCCCCCCCCCGGCTCTGCTCACCTATGAACAACAAAATTAACTTACACGGTACAAGGGTTACTGTCTGTTAGGGGCCGTCCATAAATGACGTCACGCGATTTTGGATGATTTTTGACCCCCCCCCCCTCGTTACACGGCATCACAAATAGTCAGACCCCCCCCTCAAATATGACGTCACATAGCTGTGCCCCCCCCCCCAAATAAAACATGCTTCAAAACGCTTTAAACTATTGTGATTGTAGTGCGTAATTAATGTGGCGCTGCACTCTGATGTTGTCGGAGAAAACATTTATTTAAAAGTCTGTTTAATTAAGTAGAACGTGTTGTCTATATTTATTTAAAGTTGCGCATTTTGATGTGACATCACATTTCTCAAATCTCCCCCCCCCCCCGTCACACATCGTAACAAATTTCTGACCCCCCCCTTCCCTAGGTGTGTGACGTCATTTATGGACGGCCCCTTACAGCCGTTTTCTATCCACTGAAAAATAGCCGTATAGCTCAGTGGTTTCTTCAGAACCCGATAAGTAGATCTAAGGGTCTCTAAGTCGATGGGTCTCTATGTATGAAGTCTATGGATCTCTGTGTAAGTCGATGGGTCTCTATGTATGCGGTCTATGGATCTCTGTGTTCAAAGACAATGCATATATTATCATCGTGTGTTTTGTTTGCATTTCGACTGCAGGTGTTGTGGTTAATGCAGACATGAATCCTTGTAAAAAGGTTTCAGCTTTGTTGCAAGAAAAAGGGGAAAACCCCTATTATTATATTTGGGTACTGGCAAAGGAGGTCTAATGATGAAGTATGTATCGAACTCGCTGGGCTTGTGAAGCCGATTTCATAACGCGTGGCTGTCACGCGGATTCGATCCCATGTATCTCAGCGTCTCTGACCCCGATTCTAATCTCTTTTCACACCACAACGGTTTACCATGTTAGCTCGTATGTATCCGCAGCATGAATGTCGAATCTCTTTCGCACCGTACGTAGTCAGCCGTGCCAATCGGAGGTGTCGGGGGAAGGAAAACTCAACATAAAGACCAGTTCTAAAGAAATGCGTTTTAAAATCGAGATTTAAAAGTGCATCGTTCCATTGGCTTTCTAATACACTGGTCAACAACAAAAACAATTGTGGACTTTTGCAGCTGTTTTAGACTAATTTCAGGGTGCTGATTCCAAATCTGATCTCAGATTTGCTCTATCACATCTCACTTTTATGCTATCGGCATACTCCATTTTCATTGATTTTACCCGAAATTAACTCTGTCACTTATGATTGCAAGTTGTTGCGAGTCAGTGACTGCTTTAGTGTTAAAATATGGTGCTGTATTTTTAGGACAGTGTGTTCATAATATCATTTTATGTAGATATCCACATTTATTTAATCTTTTTCTTCTGCAGTTTTTATTGAAAATGCAATATTTGATATCTCAAAAACCTGATGTGATAGAGAAAAACCGATGCCAGATTTGGAATCAGCACCCCACAATGACCTTAAACCCGTTGGAATACCTCATGCCAGAAAAAAGTGTGTTGACCAGTGATATATCGGAGGGGAAAGCGTCTGCACGTATGCACGTTCAACTTCTTTCGCACCGTACGTATCCAAACCGTGCCAATCGGAGGTGCGTGGTAAGAACGACGAACACGATTAGGTCGATAGTCGCTTGACCCGAACACCTGAACTCTGACACGAAAGAACGACGTAGACAAAGGTCCCCCGTACAGCGCGAACAGACTGTCGGGGCAAGTGCTGTTAGCGAGTGGCAAGCAGCACCTACGAAGGCGGCCGGCATGACATCCGAGAGGTGGCGGAGGGGAGTGTGTGTGGGGGGGGGGGTGCCCAGCGCCACGTTCACAATTCCGACGGAGACTCCAGACGTGGACGAGTGTCAACGGATCTTTAATTCACATGGAAACCCACCCACACGCATGAACCCCTCCCTACACACACGTGAACGCCCTTCCGAATCACGAGCCCTCACGTCCCCTCCCCACACACATGAACGTTCCCTGCCCCCCACTCCCCACCCCCCACTTCCCCCCCCCCCCCCCCCCGGACACAGCTGTACCCAGCCGCAGTAAAATTCAGGGGCAATCTTGCAATTAATTGGCGGAACGTATTAACCCGGAACAATATTTATCCGTCTATATGTATAAAAAAAATATTAAATTTCTCCGTATGTACAAATCAATTCGAAATAAATTATCTTTACCTAAGATTAAGATTTGTTTTTGTTTCTGCTGCTGCTGCTGCTGTTCTTGTCGATTCATCTCCGATGGACGATGCTACTCACCGCATCGGCCCTGACGTCCAAATCAAGCAACCCCGCTTGTGCCAGGCTAGGTGCAGCAGCAGCAACACCGAATACCTCGTCTCATCCGTGTAGAATAGGAGGGGGTGGGGGAGCGGTGGCGCAGCGGTTAGCGCACTGTGCGCTTTGTCGTTGCCCGGAATATCGGAGGCAGTCCGTGGTGATGCGTGTCTCTCTCTCTCTCGCTCCCCCCGTGGTCGCGTGGATTTTTGTCTCCGGGTCTCTCCGGTTTTCCCCCCCCTCCACATTCAGAGTCAACGTCACGCGTTTTGCGAGAAGTTGGATGCTGCTATGAATGTCCGCACGACGATGATGATGATGACGATGATGACGACAATGATGATGATGATAACGATGATGATGACGACGATGACGATGATGATGATGATGATGACGACGATGATGATGATGACGACGATGATGATGATGACGACGATGACGATAATGATGACGACGATGATGATGACGATGATGATGACGACGATGATGATGATGACGATGATGATGATGATGATGACGATGATGACGATGATGATGATGACGATGATGATGATGATGACGATGATGACGATGATGATGATGACGATGATGATGACAAAGATGACGATGATGATGATGGGCCCACTTCGTGTCAGCTATCATTTGTGATGGCCAGGTCGCTTCTAGAAAGAAACAAAAGCTATGTAGCAGCTTAGTGGGCCTTGCCTGCTAAAATAAAAAGGTTTAGTCTTAGTTCATACTCTTTGGTTCTTTCGGTAAAGTCACGTAGGTAGAAAACAAAAACATAAATCACGAGGCTTCGATCGCAGCACAAGCAATCGTCGTGAGGTGGAAAGATACAGCGGTAGAACTGCCGAACAAGAAAGGGCTTCTGCAACAAGAGGTCATATCTACAGGTGTGAGGTGGGTGTCACCCAAGGGTAAGTGGGAGGGGTCAGAGGTGGAAAGGTGTCCCGTCGCCGCACACATGCGCAGCAGCTGCGTTCAAGGGAGAGATTGACATCTCTGACCCCGGTTGAAAGCTTTCGTGACTGCAGGGATTCATCTTCTTGGTTCTTTCGGTAAAGTCACGTAGAATGTAAACCGCTCGCCAAACCTCCTACGCATTTCACAAGTAGTACTAATCGCATATCTGCATTTCCCATACATATGCTAAATTCCTCTTCATATGCAAATTATTTTGTCTGAGCGCTCTTCGCCCCTCCAACCCAGCTTAAATAGTCGCTCTAAGCCTGGGGCGTCTCATTCAGACTCTGTCTTCTCGACAGACCTGTTCTCCACCTGAGGACGGCTGCTTGCGTTGTGGCCGAAACGTCGTGAGAATTGTTTTATTATGTTTTATTTTTGTTATTTTATTGTTTACATTTTACGTGACTTTACCGAAAGAACCAAGAAGATCTCTGACCCTGCCCACTGACCCTTGGGTGACACCCACCTCACACCTACACATATAACACTGGTCAACAACAAAAACACATTATTTTCTGGCCTGGACTTTTGCAGCTGTTTTAGACTTATTTCAGGGTGCCGATTCCAAATCTGATCTCAGATTTGCTCTATCACATCTCATTTTAATGCTATCGGCATACCCCATTTTCATTGATTTTACCCGAAATTAACTCTGTCACTTATGATTGCAAGTTGTTGCGAGTCAGTGACTGCTTTAGTGTTAAAATATGGTGCTGTATTTTTAGGATAGTGTGTTTATAATGTCATTTTATGTAGATAGCCACATTTATTTAATATTTTTCTTCTGCAGTTTTTATTGAAAATGCAATATTTGATATCTCAAAAACCTGATGTGATAGACAAAAACTGATGCCAGATTTGGAATCAGCACCCCAAAGTTACCTTACAACCGTTGGAATACCTTATGCCAGAAAAAGTGTGTTGACCAGTGAATAATCTCTTGTTGCAGCAGCCCTTTCTTGTTCAGCAGTCCTACCGCTGTATCTTTGCACCTGATGACGATTGCTTGTGTTGCGATAGAAACGTCGAGATTCATTATTTATTTTTCTACCTACGTGACTTTACCGAAAGAACCAAAGAATATGGATTCCTGCAGTCACGAATGCTTCAAATCGAGATTGAGTTTTAGTTTAAGCAACCAAAAGTGGCGAAGTATGGACAAACAACCCCACCCCCCACCACCCCTGCACGCCCTACCCCCTATGACAGCCAAAGCAGAAATAGATAAATAATATTGGGTCTTTCGGTTCAAAGAACCTATCTACGTAGATATGTTCAAAGAATCTACGTGACTTTACTGAAAGACCCAAGAATATGAATTATTCCTGCAGTCACGAAAGCTTCAAGTCAAGAAATCGATATCTTACATTGAGGCGTTGTTGTTGGTGGTCAGCTCCCGTTCAAAGCCAGCGGTGGCATTTACCTGGACGACCTGCGGGTAAAAGAGAGCTCCAAGTCTCGTCGGATTTCTCCGCGAGAGATGAGGATTCTGACCGTCTGACGTTCCTGTGGCGGGGTGATTTGAGAATAACTCAATCTGCTCACAGCCCCCCCCCCCCCCCCCACCAATCGTATTCTGTTGATGGCCCCCCACACCAGTATAAGACCCCCCCCCCGCACCGCGCACGCCCCCACCCACCACAGCCTTCCCCGTGGCACCACCAATGCCCCCAGGTGAGGTTTGTACAGGTGATCTCCCACACCTGTAGGGCACATCAGCGGCGTAGGTGCCAGGTGTTGCACAGGTGTGCACGGGGGAGCGGTGGCGCAGCGGTTAGCGCGCCGCGCTACGGACCCCGGCTGCCCGAGTTCGGTTCCCGCTCACGGCCAACACCAGTGACGGTTATCTGAACCGGTCCTGGGCCTCCCCCTAAGTCGACTCAGCCTCAATGAGTACCTGGTGAGGTGCGTAAACATCGCCACTGGGGGAGACAAAGGCGGTCGGGCGTGGTGCTGCCCCCCACCCCCCACCCCTCGTGTACCGTGCTGTCCTTCGTAGGCACTACTCGCTGACAGCACTTGCCACAACAGTGTGTTGAGGCTACACGGGGGATCTTTATCTTTGTCTTGCACAGGTGTGCTGCAACTCCTTGTGTGTACAGGTGTGAGGCTACTGTCCACAGGTGTGTACTGGTGCACTGCTGCAGGTGCGTACAGGTGTGAGGCTACCGTCCACAGGTGTGTACTGGTGCACTGCTGCAGGTGTGTACAGATGTGAGGCTACTGTCCACAGGTGTGTACTGGTGCACTGCTGCAGGTGCGTACAGGTGTGAGGCTACTGTCCACAGGTGTGTACTGGTCTACTGCTGCAGGTGTGTACAGGTGTGAGGCTACCGTCCACAGTTGTGTACTGGTGCACTGCTGCAGGTGTGTACAGATGTGAGGCTACTGTCCACAGGTGTGTGCTGGTGCACTGCTGCAGGTGTGTACAAGTGTGAGGCTACTGTCCACAGGTGTGTGCTGGTGCACTGCTGCAGGTGTGTACAGGTGTGAGGCTACTGTCCACAGGTGTGTACTGGTGCACTGCTGCAGGTGTGTACAGGTGTGAGGCTACTGTCCACAGGTGTGTGCTGGTGCACTGCTGCAGGTGTGTAGAGGTGTGAGGCTACTGTCCACAGGTGTGTGCTGGTGCACTGCTGCAGGTGTGTACAAGTGTGAGGCTACTGTCCACAGGTGTGTGCTGGTGCACTGCTGCAGGTGTGTACAGGTGTGAGGCTACTGTCCACAGGTGTGTGCTGGTGCACTGCTGCAGGTGTGTAGAGGTGTGAGGCTACTGTCCACAGGTGTGTACTGGTGGACTGCTGCAGGTGTGTACAGGTGTGCCGCAGCAAATGTAGGTGTGTACAAGAATCCCCCGCGATAAGGTTCCACGTGCGTTGTTTTGCAAATACATTGCCGATTAATAAGGGAACATATTTCCGTTTAAGTGTAATGTTTCGCATATGCGTTGTTTAAAAAATGTATATCAACACGTAGGCTTTCGCGACCGATATCATCCATTATAGAGGTTAATTTTTTTTGTTAGATCGCGTAAATATATACATGTGTGTCGTTAAAACCCGCCACCACCCGACACAGCCAATTAGTATCCCTCTATTTAAGGAACGAAGCAGGAGGATTTCTCTACAAGTCTGGCTGCCGCCTGATGATGCCGGTTGTAATTACCGGCGAAACGTCGTACTTAGATTGTAAATCTTCTTGGTTCTTTCGGTAAAGTCACGTAGAAGGGAAGTAATAAAATAATAAAAATAAAACATAATAAATAATTCTCACGACGTTTCGGCCACAACGCAAGCAGCCGTCCTCAGGTGAAGAACAGGTCTGTCGGGGAGACAGCGTCTGAATGAAACACCACCACGCTTGGAGCGACTATTTAAGCTGGGTTGGAAGGGGGGAAGGGCGCCTTGACAAAATAATTTGCATATCAAGATGAATTTAGCATATTTATGGGAAATGCAGGTATGTGATTAGTACTACTTGTGAAATGCGTAGGAGGTGTGCGGGGGGTTTCAAAGTCATATTATGTAAATGTTGTGGATTTGCTCTCTAACACACCGGTGTTGCTGTACTAGTAACGAATCGGCCACGTTCTGTTTACATCACAAACATTACTAATTGGCTGTGTTGGATGGTGGCGGGTTTAACGACACATTTATATTCACGCAACCTAACCCAAAGAAAACCTCTATTATGGATCGAAAAAATATATATTTGCGCCAAAAATGTTTCCAACATTTTTTTTAACTCGGAACGCACACGGACTATGTTGCGATGTAATGCCGCACGTTGGGCGAATATTCGCGTACCACCGAATATCGTTCCGTCACGTGATCCGCCTCCTTGTCTGCCAGACCGCCATCTTGTGTGATCGCAGCGCACGTGGTTAGGTAGAAATGTCGCGTTCGGTGAGTTTTTTTTACAGTACAAAGGCCTTAGAAAGGTGAGTGCTAAATGCACGGAAAATTATGTTAGCGCCTCTGGCAAGAAAAGGCGAAAGGTAAAGAATCTCAACGATAAATCAGAAGTTTCAAGTCGTTATAAAGCATGTGAAAAGGCTGTCGATATTTGCGAGAATGCGTGGCCTTCGTCTGCATAACTCCACAGTCGTCGATCAATAAGCTTTGCTTTACCATCTCTGGTAAGTTTTATCGAATTATTTGTATTTTTTATTCGTTAAAATCCATGCTACCTGATGGGTTTCTTTTTAAATAAACTTCACGACATTTAGTCACGCATTTTATTCCTGAAATGTCGGTTAGGAACTCAACCCCTTACTTTAACATGTTTATGGGAATTTAGAGTAGTTCGCTTTTAAGTTATTTCGAGTTAAGTAGCATTTCTCAGGAACACAACCCTTATGTAGAGCGGGGGATTCCTGTACAGGTGTGTACAGGTGTGCTACTGCAGGTGTGTACAGGTGTGCTACTGCAGGTGTGTACAGGTGTGCCACTGTTCCTGAAGGTGTGTATAGGTGAGTACAGGTGTGCTATTACAGGTGTGTACAGGTGTGCTTCTGCAGGTTGTACAGGTGTGTACAGGTGTGCTATTATAGGTGTGTGCAGGTTTGCTACTGCAGGTGTGTACGGGAGTGCCACTACTCATGCAGGTGTGTTAAGGTGTGCCACTGGTACTGCCGGCGTGTTTAGCTGGTGTGCCACTGCTACTGCAGGTGTGTACAGGTATGTACAGGTGTGTCATTACAGGTGTGTACAGGTGTGCCACTGTTTCTGCAGGTGTGTACAGGTGTGCTACTGCAGGCGTGTACAGGTGTGCTCCTGCAGGTGTGTACAGGTGTGCTCCTGCAGGTGTGTACAGGTGTGCTGCAGGTGTGTACAGGTATGTACAGGTGTGTCATTACAGGTGTGTACAGGTGTGCCACTGTTTCTGCAGGTGTGTACAGGTGTGCTACTGCAGGCGTGTACAGGTGTGCTCCTGCAGGTGTGTACAGGTGTGCTCCTGCAGGTGTGTACAGGTGTGCTGCAGGTGTGTACAGGTATGTACAGGTGTGTCATTACAGGTGTGTACAGGTGTGCCACTGTTTCTGCAGGTGTGTACAAGTGTGCTACTGCAGGCGTGTACAGGTGTGCTCCTGCAGGTGTGTACAGGTGTGCTCCTGCAGGTGTGTACAGGTGTGCTGCAGGCGTGTACAGGTATGTACAGGTGTGTCATTACAGGTGTGTACAGGTGTGCCACTGTTTCTGCAGGTGTGTACAGGTGTGCTCCTGCAGGTGTGCACAGGTATGTACAGGTGTGTCATTACAGGTGTGTCATTACAGGTGTGTACAGGTGTGCCACTGTTTTTGCAGGCGTGTACAGGCATGCTCCTGCAGGTGTGCACAGGTATGTACAGGTGTGTCATTACAGGTGTGTCATTACAGGTGTGTACAGGTGTGCCACTGTTTCTGCAGGCGTGTACAGGTGTGCTACTGCTGGCGTGTACAGGTGTGCTCCTGCAGGTGTGTACAGGTGTGCTCCTGCAGGTGTGTACAGGTGTGCTGCAGGCGTGTACAGGTATGTACAGGTGTGTCATTACAGTTGTGTACAGGTGTGTCATTACAGGTGTGTCATTACAGGTGTGTACAGGTGTGCCACTGTTTCTGCAGGTGTGTACAGGTGTGCTACTGCCGGCGTGTACAGCAGGTGTGCTCCTGTTGTGCAGAGTCACTGAGTCTCCCGCTTGGTGAGCACTGTGTGGGATGTGTGGGATGGGGAGGGTGGGCGACCCTCGTGGGGCAGGGCCCCCCCCCTCATCTTGTAGGGATCGGGACCCCCAGGGGGGGAGCTCCCGGGAGGAGACGGGAGCGGCGTGTCCGGGGTGGCTGCGACGCAGAGACACGCACCACACGCGCACACAAAGACAAAGATCCCCCGTGTAGCCTGTAACAGACTGTTGGGGCAAGCGCTGTTAGCGAGCATCTACGAAGGCCGGCACGGCACACGAGGGGGTGGGTGGCCAACACCACGCCCGGCCGCCTTTGTCTCCCTAGTGGCGTTGTTTACACATTGCACCAGGTACTCATTTGAGGCTGAGTCGACCTAGGGGTGGCCGAGGACCGGTTAAGATAATCGTCACTGGTGTTGGCCGTGAGCGGGAATCGAACCTGGGTCGCCAGATTCGCAGCGCAGCGCTAACCGCTCCACTACTGCTCCCCACGGACGCGCACAACAACAACAACCGCCATTCGCCACTAAGTGGCGGTGACATCACCACGACGCTTGTGCCAGGCCATGTGCACCTTGAGGCCACGTGAAGTGTCGAACGCCCGCTGGCAGGAGGTCACGGGGCAGACCCGACCCTGCAGGTGCCACGGGTCGACTCACTGAGATGACCGAGATGACTGGCTGATGCACCACCTGTGCCCCCTACTGTGCCAACTTGCTGTGCTTTAGCCACCCGGCGCTCCGCTCGTTGTTGTGAGCGTCGCTCCTCTATCCCTCCGTTGTTGTTGGAGGGCGCAGCCTTGCCTGCCGGAGGAGCTCACCGATGGGACTTTGCCCAGATCTTTCAAGGATTTGTGAGCTCCTCACACAATCCAGCCTGGTTAAACCCAGGATGGATCGTAGGCAGGCCAACCTAAATGTTCCTAACCAACGTGCACACACACAGACACACAAACACAAACAGCGGTGTGCTACATGGTGGTGGTGGTGAGCGTCTACTCACACAGGTGAGCGGTGTGCTGCATGGTGTGCTGCGTCGCCATGGGGTTGCTGATGATGACCGGGTGCCCACTGCCAGAGTTGCCCAGGAAGTGATGCGGGGGGTCTGGGGAGCGGGAAGGGGGCGGCGGCTGCTGCTGCTGCTGGTGAGGGGGGTGAGCGGGCAGGTGAGGCAGGTGAGGCAGGTGGGGCAGGAGCTGGGGGTGAGCGGGGTGAGCGGGGTGAGCGGGCGCCTGGCCGGCGGGTGCAGCGTCGGCCGTCACTCCTGCGCGCGCACAAAGACAAAGGCCCCCCGTGTAGCCTCGAACAGTCCGTTGGGGCAAGTGCCGCTAGCGAGCGCCGGTACGGCGCATGACCTGATGAGGTGGCCGGCAACCACGCTCGCTTTGCCTCGCCAGTGCTGATATCTACTACGCACTGCAACCAGGTACTCATTTCAGGCTGAGCCGACCTAGGGAAGGCCCAGGACCGGTTCAGATATTCGCCAGCGGCATCGGCGAGCGAGCTGGCGGCCGGGTCCACGCTAACCACTGGGCCCACCGCTCCCCGGCACTGCCGAGGATTTCTCTCGGCCACTTCGTGTTTGGCCGTCACTGAGATTTAACCGCAGCAGGTCGACGGCTTCACAGCCCAAACCCGTGCCAAATTCAAGCGGATTTGGAATCGCCCTGAGCAGCAATCTTCCTCTTCCGCCCTTCCTCCTCTATCCATGACTCTAGGCCAGGGGTCGGCAACCTCTCAAAGCAGAAGAAGACGAAGAGCCGTTTTTTGTCTTGGTCTTTGACCAAAATAGCACGGGCAGCTAGCTACTTGTACACACAAACACAGCAAGCGGGCACACAGCCAATGACAACACCACGCATTCTGACTTGAATAGACAAAATAGTTTGAGAGCCGCGTCACACGCTACAGCAACTTGTACACACAAACACAGCAAGCGGGCACACAGCCAATGACAACACCACGCATTCTGATTTGAATAGACAAAATAGTTTGAGAGCCGCGTCACACGCTACAGCAACTTGTACACACAAACACAGCAAGCGGGCACACAGCCAATGACAACACCACGCATTCTGATTTGAATAGACAAAATAGGTTGAGAGCCGCGTCACACGCTACAGCAACTTGTACACACAAACACAGCAAGCGGGTATACAGCCGACGAGAAAAAAATTCTGACTACAATCAACAAAATAGGGGATGGAATAAACGGCGTCTATTTCGTTTTTCAGTTATTCGTTAACAATCACACAGCTTGACTGTAGTTCATTGTGTTGTCGCCAAAACATCAAATAGTGACACTCCCATTCCCTGTTGTATTTAATACATTGCCGATTACATTTCGATTGAAAGCTTTCGTGACTGCAGGGATTCATCTTCTTGGTTCTTTCGGTAAAGTCACGCAGAAGGGAAGTAATAAAATAATAAAAATAAAACATAAACAGGACCCTGCGGGGTGGGCTGGTAGGAACGAATAACCAAAGAATGTAAACATAATGTATTATTACACTTGTTAAGCCAGGAAAGCCCCACTGAGTCAAAAGGTTTTTGTAGGGTCCTGCCAAGTGTTTGCAGTAGGGGGCGATGTTGCTACACCAAATCGGACGATACGAAGGGAGAGATTGAGGCCTAGTTCTAGGCTTTAGGCCTAGCTGTAGGCTTTAGGGCGCTGTGAGTTAATTTTTAATTTAAATGTTTTAATGATTCATGTAAAAGCTTTAAATTTAAATGTTTCTATTTAAAAACATGAGGGAATGTAACATTGTTAAACATAACTCCCTTTCACACACGCGGGGGTACGATACGAAGGGAGAGTTTCAGGCCTAGTTCTAGGCTTTAGGCCTAGCTGTAGGCTTTAGGGCGCTGTGAGTTTTTTTTTATTTAATTTGAAAGTTTTCATTAAAAGCTATCTCAGGGAATTATTAGGTCGCTGTGAGTTTTTTATTTAATTTCAAAGTTTTAATTAAGAGCTATCTCAGGGAATTATAAGGGAATGTTACACGTGTTTAGCCAAGAAAGCCTCATTAATTTAAATGTTTAAATTAAAAGCTATCTGAGGGAATTTTAAGGGAATGTTACACTTGTTCAGCCAGGATAGCGTCACTGAGTCTAAAGGTTTTTGTAGGGTCATGCCAAGTGTTTGCAGTAGGGGGCGATGTTGCTACCAGGATAGCGTCACTGAGTCTAAAGGTTTTTGTAGAGTCATGCCAAGTGTTTGCAGTAGGGGGCGATGTTGATACACGGACGGACGGACGGACACATTAATCTATTGGTGGTCTGGTCCACTTCGTTCCTACCAGTATAAAATACAATTCTCACGACGTTTCGGCCACAACGCAAGCAGCCGTCGTGAGAATGATTTTATTATGTTTAATTTTTTTTATTATTTCCCTTCTGCGTGACTTTACCGAAAGAACCAAGAAGATTGCCGATTACCCTTAGGTGAAATTACGTTTTAGATTTAAAATATTTTTAGTTGATTTTTTTTTAAGCGGCTGCCCGCAAGGGGGCAGCCAAAGAGCCACTTGCAGCCGGCCTCAAAGCCGCCATTTACCGACCGCTGCTCCAAACCGCAGCAAATTAACCAATTCCACCGCTCCATCTCCCGCCTGCGTGGACGACCTCCCGTCGGACACGGACCATTGCCCGGCTGCCGCTCCGTCGCTATTATTCTTGACCGCCGTTACTATCCGGCGGGGCGGGGAGGCGCGTTCGGCGAGCCGTGTGGCCTCAATCAAACGCTGGCGCGAAAGCCGCAAAAGCGCAACGGGTTAAAGCCCGCGAGAGGGAAGCAATTAAAACGATGTCGTTTTATTTTAGCAGGTAAGGCCCCGCTGAGCTGCTATATAGCTCAACGAAAGTGGCTCATCATCATCATCGTATGGACATTGAGAGCAGCAGCCACGTGCTCAAAACGCGTGATGTTGATTCGGAAAACCGGAGCACCCGGAGACAAATCCACGCGAGCACGGCGGGAGAGACACCGCAAACTCCAAAAATACAGGCGCCAGGCTCAAGATGGAACCCACGACCTCCCGCATACTAGGCGAGGGAGTTAACATCTCCGAGCCACCGCTGCGCGCCAGCTTCTGCCGCATTTCTCGCCCCTTCATAACGCCACCTCGCGAGACGTGGAGGATGACGGACTGAAACCTCCCGCCCCTCCGCCGTACCTCCGAGCAGCATCTCCTGCAGAAGGTTGTCCACCTTGGCGACGCCGAAGAGGCGGAGGAGGTGGACCTGCTCGACGAGCTGCCACGTGATGCTCTGCAGCGCCGGCAGCAGCAGCAGCAGCTCGCCGAATCGTCCGCGGCTCTCGTACTGGCGGTCGGTCACGTAGTCCTCCAGCAGCACCTGGGGTGAGTGAGCGGGCGAGCGGGTGAGCGAGTAAGTGGGTGAGCACCCACATGGATTAGGCACGTAGTCCTCCAGCAGCACCTGGGGTGAGCGAGTGGGTGAGTGGGTGAGCGAGTGAGTGGGTGAGCACGCACATGGATTAGTCATGTAGTCCAGCAGCACCTGGGGTGAGCGAGCACGAGTCACTCATGGGTCAATGTCCCGTCTCACCAAGTCACCAGTCACTCAATCACCGGTCACTCACTCTCTGGTCTCTCACCAGTCACTCACCCTCAGCTACCGTCGCTCACCCTCGCGCACGCCACTCACCTGCACGTGGAAGCGCATCGCTTTGATTCGAGCAGCGTCGCTCAATCCCTTCGCATCTGCAACAACAGCGAGGTCACGCACACCGGGTGAGCGCTCACCACCCCCACTCGGCCACAGCCTCACCACCCCCACACTGACCCACAGCCTCACCACCCACACTCACCCACAGCCTCACCACTGACCACACGTACCACCGGGTGGTGCATCTGCCAGACGTCTCGGTCGGTCGACCCATGGCGCCTGTGTGTGCCCCATGACCCCCTGCCTGCAGCGAGTCTTCCACACGCCACGTGATAACCTCAAGCTGGACCTAGCCTGGCACGAGGGCTCTGCCGTGACATCGCCGGTTGTTGTTGTTGTTGTTGTTTACAGGTGTGTGGGTAGCACTGGGTGTATTTTACATGAAGAGTGAAGGTGCAGATGGAGGTCTTGAGCCTGGATTTGAACAGGGAGCAAGGAGACGGCTGGGGTGGTGGTGGGGGGTGGTGGTGGTGGGGGGTGGGTGGGTGGGGGTAGTTCCAGACTATAGGGCAGAGGTCACAATCGGGTACCCGATACCCGTACCCTACCCGATACCCGGCTACCCGTACCCGGCCGGGTACGGGTAGCCGTTTGCAACTCTGGTGCGGCCGGGTACGGGTAGGCGGTGAGTCACCGTTTGTCACTCATTTCCCAACGTCTTGTCTCTTCTCACAATTCAAGTTCCTAGAATCAACCCACCCACGCCTGCAACATGGCTTCATCCCAGAGGTCACAATCGGGTACCCGATACCCGCACCCGACCCGATACCCGGCTACCCGTACCCGGCCGGGTATCGGGTACGGGTACCCGTTTGTGACCCTGGTGCGGCCGGGTACGGGTAAGGAATCAAAACCCGTTTGCGACCTCTGCTATAGGGGTCACCAGAGAAGAATCAGCAGCCTCCCTTTGAGCGAAGGTCGACTGGGAGCTCCCACAGAAAGCCACGGCTGCCGTAGCCAAGAGTGCGCGGAGGGGAGTAGCCAGCGAGAGATGAGAGGTTGGCGAGTGTCATAGAAACTCAATTTGGAGCTTTCGTGACTGCAGGAATGACTCTTTGGTTATTTCGGTAAAGTGACGTATAAAGATAAATAATAAATTAGATACTAGCATACGACGTTTCGATTGCAACACAAGCAATCGTCATCAGGTATAAATGAAATAGAAAACACAAATCTAGTATACTTAGAAATGTAATGTAATACAACAGAGAGTCGGATAACATAACAGTCAACACCCTACCTATACACTACTACACACTACACTATACACTACAATACACTACTACACTATACACTACTACAACAGAGAGTCTGATAACATAACAGTCAACACCCTACCTATACACTACTACACACTACACTATACACTACAATACACTACTACACTATACACTACTACAACAGAGAGTCTGATAACATAACAGTCAACGCCCTACCTGCTTGATTACGTTCTTCCTGAGAATGCTAAATTTGAGAGAGAGATAAAACACAGAACCAGAGACATATAGACAGACATATAAGTAGAGACAGATATCACAGAGATACGTAGAGAGAGTGTCATACAGTTATTCTTTGGTTCTTTCGGTAAAGTCACGTATAAAGATAAAATAATAAATTAAATAATAGCATACTACGACGTTTCGATTGCAACACAAGCAATCGTCATCGGGTATAAAAGAAATAGCAACAAAAATCTAACCAGAAAACTATAGACAGACATATAAGCAGACAGACATCATAAAGATACACAGAGAGAGAACACGTATCGGCACAAAGAGAGAGGTCGTCTCTGTGACGAGGCCTTAAATATAGAGAGGGGGCGGGGGCGGAGAGAGGGAGGGGGCAGAGACATGCTAATTTTTTCTCTGCCCCCTCCCTCTCTCCGCCCCCGCCCCCTCTCTATATGTAAGGCCTCGTCACAGAGACGACCTCTCTCTTTGTGCCGATACGTGTTCTCTCTCTCTGTGTATCTTTATGATGTCTGTCTGCTTATATGTCTGTCTATAGTTTTCTGGTTAGATTTTTGTTGCTATTTCTTTTATATCTGATGATGATTGCTTGTGTTGCAATCGAAACGTCGTAGTATGCTATTATTTAATTTATTATTTTATCTTTATACGTGACTTTACCGAAAGAACCAAAGGATAACTCTATGACCCTCTCTCTATGTATCTCTGTGATATCTGTCTCTGCTTATGTGTCTGTCTATGTGTCTCTGGTTCTGTGTTTGATCTCTCTCTCTCTCTCAAATTTAGCATTCTCAGGAAGAACGTAATCAACCAGGTAGGGCGTTGACTGTTATGTTATCAGACTCTCTGTTGTAGTAGTGTATAGTGTAGTAGTGTATTGTAGTGTATAGTGTAGTGTGTAGTAGTGTATAGGTAGGGCGTTGACTGTTATGTTATCAGACTCTCTGTTGTAATAGTGTATAGTGTAGTAGTGTATTGTAGTGTGTAGTGTGGTGTGTAGTAGTGTATAGGTAGGGCGTTGACTGTTATGTTATCAGACTCTCTGTTGTAGATTCCAAAGAACACAGGATGAGATGTTACTATCCTTTGTGCAAGCACTTCCAAGAGTTCATGAACAGTGAGCCTGGTGAAATTTGGGGAGCGCATCGTCAGTAGTGACCCTTTGGTTCCTAGGGTGTTTCGGCCTTTCATACTATACACCCTCCCCAAAGGCGGCCAGCGACAGGGTGATCAATCCTACGCTTGCGTCCCATTCCCAATTAGTCATAGGAGTTGCCTTGTTGTTGGTAGCCAACATCCCATGGGACTATGCATGGCAGGGGCGTCCTCCTCCCTGAGTCAAGCATTGTTGACTGCATACCTCCTGGTATGCAGTCAACAATGCGTAGTGTATTGTAGTGTATAGTGTAGTGTGTAGTAGTGTATAGGTAGGGCGTTGACTGTTATGTTATCCGACTCTCTGTTGTATTACATTACATTTATAAGTATACTAGATTTGTGTTTTCTATTTCATTTATACCTGATGACGATTGCTTGTGTTGCAATCGAAACGTCGTAGTATGCTATTATTTAATTTATTATTTTATCTTTATACGTCACTTTACCGAAAGAACCAAAGAATAATTCCTGCAGTCACGAAAGCTCCAAAATTAAGATTGTCACAGAGTTCACACGCGGGGCTCCAGGAGTATTTTGTTTCTCACCTGGATCAAAGAAGACGATGGCCTTGAGGCACGCGAACTCCGCGTCGTCGAGTTGGAGGTCACGGAAAGGTCGCACGAGCTCGTCCAGAACGCGGTTCGAGACGCGGCACAGCTCCTGCTCGGGGCAGTTCCTGGGAATCACCGACTCGGAGCCTGCGGCGAGACGCCGGGGAACGCCGCAGCGGCCCAGTAAGGCGAACGCATGGCAACGGCTTGCCGGTGAACCCATAGCAATGGCCACGCCGGTGAACCCATGGCAATGGGATCGCCAGTGAACCCATGACAACGGGATCGCCAGTGAACCCATGACAACGGGATCGCCAGTGAACCCATGGCAATGGGATCGCCGGTGAACCCATGACAACAGGATCGCCAGTGAACCCATAGCAACGGGATCACCAGTGAACCCATGGCAACGGCCTCACCAGTGAACCCATGGCAACGGCCTCACCAGTGAACCCATGGCAACGGCCTCACCAGTGAACCCATGGCAACGGGATCGCCAGTGAACCCATGGCAACGGCCTCGCCAGTGAACCCATGGCAACGGCCTCGCCAGTGAACCCATGGCAACGGCCTCGCCAGTGAACCCATGGCAACGGCCTCACCAGTGAACCCATGGCAACGGGATCGCCAGTGAACCCATGGCAACGGGATCGCCAGTGAACCCATGGCAACGGGATCGCCAGTGAACCCATGGCAACGGGATCGCCAGTGAACCCATGGCAACGGCCTCGCCAGTGAACCCATGGCAACGGGATCGCCAGTGAACCCATGGCAACGGGATCGCCAGTGAACCCATGGCAACGGGATCGCCAGTGAACCCATGGCAACGGGATCGCCAGTGAACCCATGGCAACGGCCTCACCAGTGAACCCATGGCAACGGGATCGCCAGTGAACCCATGGCAACGGGATCGCCAGTGAACCCATGGCAACGGGATCGCCAGTGAACCCATGGCAACGGCCTCACCAGTGAACCCATGGCAACGGCCTCACCAGTGAACCCATGGCAACGGCCTCGCCAGTGAACCCATGGCAACGGCCTCACCAGTGAACCCATGGCAACGGGATCGCCGGTGAACGCATGGCAACGGCCTCACCAGTGAAACCATGGCAACGGGATCGCCAGTGAACGCATGGCAACGGCCTCACCAGTGAAACCATGGCAACGGCCTCGCCAGTGAACGCACGGCAACGGGATCGACACTTCTCGGCAGTTGTGAAGAGCGGCGGTGCAGTGGTTAGCACGCTGCACTGCGAACCGAATGGCCCGAGTTTGACTCCCACTCACTTTCCATCCAAACATCGGTGAGTGATTTATCTGAAGCGGTCCTGGGCCTCCCCTAGGCCGACTCGGCCTCAAATGAGCATCGCCACTGGGCGTGGTGCTGGCCACTCACCCCCTCGTGCGCCGTGCCGGCCTTCATAGGTGCTCAGGACCAGCGCTCGCCCCAACGGTGTGTTGAAGACTATACGGGGCACCTTTGTCCGTGTGAGTGTGGTGCTCACCGAGCAGCAGCAGCTCCTTGTAGGGCAGGGAGCGCTTGGAGACCCCAAGAAGGAGGTGCTCGCCAGCGTGAGCTCTCAGCAGAGACACCTGGTGAGGGGGGCACGCGAAGGGTGAGGGGGGCACACGAGGGGTGAGCGGTGAGCAGGACACGTGAGGGATGAGTCACTTGCTTGGCGAGATGGGCGAGTTGCACGATTGGTGAGGGCAAGACACGTGATTGGTGAGGAGGGCGTGTCACGTGATTGGTGAGGTGGGAGAGTCACGTGATTGGTGAAGACAACGTGTCACTTGATTGGTGAAGACAACGTGTCACTTGATTGGTGAGGAGGGCGTGTCACGTGATTGGTGAGGTGGGAGAGTCACGTGATTGGTGAAGACAACGTGTCACTTGATTGGTGAAGACAACGAGTCACTTGATTGGTGAGGAGGGCGTGTCACGTGATTGGTGAGGTGGGAGAGTCACGTGATTGGTGAAGACAACGTGTCACTTGATTGGTGAAGACAACGAGTCACTTGATTGGTGAGGAGGGCGTGTCACGTGATTAGTGAGGTAGGAGAGTCACGTGATTGGTGAGATGGGCGAGTCACCTGATTGGTGAAGACAACGTGTCACTTGATTGGTGAGGAGGGTGAGTCGCGTGATTGGTTAGGTGGGTGAGTGACTTAATTGGTGAAGTCGGCAAGTAACTTGATTGGTGAGGAGGGTGGGTCACGTGATAGATGAGGAGTGCGAGTCGCCGTGCCTGGTCGTCTAGGGGCAGGTCGCAGAAGGCCGGGATGTACTTGGCCCACTCGACCAGCACCAGCAGCTGCTGCTTCATCGACTCGCACACGTCCTGCACCCCGGCCAGCTTGCGCACGGGCCCCCCGCCGTCCCCCGAGCCCCCCACTTCCCTGGCCCCCGTGATCTATGCGCACAGAGACAAAGAACACCCCCCCCCCCCCCCGTGTGAGGTGAAGTGAGTCAAACTCGGTTTTAAATAGTGCCGTTCGCGCAAGGCCCCACGGCGCTTGACAACGCAATCCCGGTAAACAACAAAAAAGCCTTAACATTACAACAGTGAGTAAGACAACCCCGCACAGACGGATATGCAGGAGAAAATAAATGTGTTTTCAGGCGAGCCTTCAAAAGCTCGACTGACGGAGCGTCCCTGACGGACTGGGGCAAAACATCCCACAAGCGAAACGCCCTGACTCCTGAAAGCTCTATCACCACCCATTGCATGCAGATTTGTCCTCAGTATACTCGGGGTGCCCGGATTTGGTGGATCAAAGTTGCCGGACAGGGGCAGAGTACGGTTTCAGCACATCTCCGAGATATAATGGAGCCACTAACGCCCTGTCATGGCGCTGAAGGCCAATACAAGAACTTTAAATTCGAACCTGTATTTTACCGTATCGCCCGAACGGACTTTAGGGGCACGTGCTCGTGAAGGTGAAGTCGGCACATCAGTGAGGGTGAGAGCGTCATCGTAAAGACCGAGAGTGCCACGCTTGAGTGAGGACCCCATGTTAGAGTGAGGGTGCCATGTTAGAGTGAGGGTGCCATGTTAGAGTGAGGGTACCATGTTAGAGTGAGTGTGCCATGTTAGAGTGAGGGTGCCATGTTAGAGTGAGGGTGCCATGTTAGAGTGAGGGTACCATGTTAGAGTGAGTGTGCCATGTTAGAGTGATGGTGCCATGTTAGAGTGAGGGTGCCATGTTAGAGTGAGGGTGCCATGTTAGAGTGAGGGTGTCATGTTAGAGGGAGGGTGTCATGTTAGAGTGAGGGTGCCATGTTAGAGTGAGGGTGTCATGTTAGAGTGAGGGTGCCATGTTAGAGTGAAGGTGCCATGTTAGAGTGAAGGTGTCATGTTAGAGTGAGGGCGCCATGTTAGAGTGAAGGTGCCATGTTAGAGTGAGGGTGTCATGTTAGAGTGAGGGTGCCATGTTAGAGTGAGGGTGCCATGTTAGAGTGAAGGTGTCATGTTAGAGTGAGGGGGCCATGTTAGAGTGAGGGTGCCATGTTAGAGTGAGGGTGCCATGTTAGAGTGAGGGTGCCATGTTAGAGTGAGGGTGCCATGTTAGAGTGAGGGTGCCATGTTAGAGTGAAGGTGCCATGTTAGAGTGAGGGTGCCATGTTAGAGTGAGGGTGTCATGTTAGAGTGAGGGTGCCATGTTAGAGTGAGGGTGTCATGTTAGAGTGAGGGTGCCATGTTAGAGTGAGGGTGCCATGTTAGAGTGAAGGTGCCATGTTAGTGTGAAGGTGTCATGTTAGAGTGAGGGTGCCATGTTAGAGTGAAGGTGCCATGTTAGAGTGAGGGTGCCATGTTAGAGTGAGGGTGCCATGTTAGAGTGAGGGTGCCATGTTAGAGTGAAGGTGCCATGTTAGTGTGAGGGTGTCATGTTAGAGTGAGTGTGTCATGTTAGAGTGAAGGTGCCATGTTAGAGTGAAGGTGCCATGTTAGAGTGAGTGTGTCATGTTAGTGTGAGGGTGACATGTTAGAGTGAGGGTGTAATGTTAGAGTGAGGGTGCCATGTTAGAGTGAGGGTGTCATGTTAGAGTGAGTGTGCCATGTTAGAGTGAGGGTGCCATGTTAGAGTGAAGGTGTCATGTTAGAGTGAGGGTGCCATGTTAGAGTGAGGGTGCCATGTTAGAGTGAGGGTGCCATGTTAGAGTGAAGGTGCCATGTTAGAGTGAGAGTGCCATGTTAGAGTGAGGGTGCCATGTTAGAGTGAGTGTGTCATGTTAGAGTGAAGGTGTCATGTTAGAGTGAGGGTGCCATGTTAGAGTGAAGGTGTCATGTTAGAGTGAGGGTATCATGTTAGAGTGAAGGTGCCATGTTAGAGTGAGGGTGTCATGTTAGAGTGAGGGTGCCATGTTAGAGTGAGGGTGCCATGTTAGAGTGAAGGTGCCATGTTAGAGTGAGGGTGCCATGTTAGAGTGAGGGTGCCATGTTAGAGTGAAGGTGTCATGTTAGTGTGAGGGTGCCATGTTAGAGTGAAGGTGCCATGTTAGAGTGAAGGTGCGATGTTAGAGTGAAGGTGCCATGTTAGAGTGAGGGTGTCATGTTAGAGTGAGGGTGCCATGTTAGAGTGAGGGTGCCATGTTAGAGTGAAGGTGCCATGTTAGAGTGAGGGTGTCATGTTAGAGTGAGGGTGCCATGTTAGAGTGAGGGTGCCATGTTAGAGTGAAGGTGCCATGTTAGAGTGAGGGTGTCATGTTAGAGTGAGGGTGTCATGTTAGAGTGAGGGTGCCATGTTAGAGTGAGGGTGCCATGTTAGAGTGAAGGTGCCATGTTAGAGTGAGGGTGCCATGTTAGAGTGAGGGTGTCATGTTAGAGTGAGGGTGCCATGTTAGAGTGAGGGTGCCATGTTAGAGTGAGGGTGCCATGTTAGAGTGAAGGTGCCATGTTAGAGTGAAGGTGCCATGTTAGAGTGAGGGTGCCATGTTAGAGTGAAGGTGCCATGTTAGAGTGAAGGTGCCATGTTAGAGTGAGGGTGTCATGTTAGAGTGAAGGTGCCATGTTAGAGTGAGGGTGCCATGTTAGAGTGAGTGTGCCATGTTAGAGTGAAGGTGCCATGTTAGAGTGAGGGTGCCATGTTAGATTGAGGGTGCCATGTTAGAGTGAAGGTGCCATGTTAGAGTGAGGGTGCCATGTTAGAGTGAGGGTGTCATGTTAGAGTGAGGGTGTCATGTTAGAGTGAGGGTGTCATGTTAGAGTGAGGGTGTCATGTTAGTGTGAGGGTGCCATGTTAGAGTGAGGGTGCCATGTTAGAGTGAGGGTGTCATGTTAGAGTGAGGGTGTCATGTTAGAGTGAGGGTGTCATGTTAGAGTGAGGGTGTCATGTTAGAGTGAGGGTGTCATGTTAGAGTGAGGGTGTCATGTTAGAGTGAGTAGGTTGAGGGTGTCATGTTAGAGTGAAGGTGCCATGTTAGAGTGAGGATGTCATGTTAGAGTGAGGGTGCCATGTTAGAGTGAGGGTGCCATGTTAGAGTGAGGGTGCCATGTTAGAGTGAGGGTGCCATGTTAGAGTGAAGGTGCCATGTTAGAGTGAGGGTGCCATGTTAGAGTGAGGGTGCCATGTTAGAGTGAGGGTGCCATGTTAGAGTGAGAGTGTCATGTTAGAGTGAGTGTGTCATGTTAGAGTGAGTGTGTCATGTTAGAGTGAAGGTGCCATGTTAGAGTGAGGGTGCCATGTTAGAGTGAGGGTGTCATGTTAGAGTGAGGGTGTCATGTTAGAGTGAAGGTGCCATGTTAGAGTGAAGGTGTCATGTTAGAGTGAAGGCGCCATGTTAGAGTGAGAGTGTCATGTTAGAGTGAGGGTGCCATGTTAGAGTGAGGGTGCCATGTTAGAGTGAGGGTGCCATGTTAGAGTGAGAGCGCCATGTTAGAGTGAGAGCGCCATGTTAGAGTGAGAGCGCCATGTTAGAGTGAGGGCGCCATGTTAGAGTGAGGGTGCCATGTTAGAGTGAGGGTGCCATGTTAGAGTGAGGGTGTCATGTTAGAGTGAAGGTGCCATGTTAGAGTGAAGGTGTCATGTTAGAGTGAAGGTGCCATGTTAGAGTGAGAGTGTCATGTTAGAGTGAGGGTGCCATGTTAGAGTGAGGGTGCCATGTTAGAGTGAGAGCGCCATGTTAGAGTGAGAGCGCCATGTTAGAGTGAGGGCGCCATGTTAGAGTGAGGGCGCCATGTTAGAGTGAGGGTGCCATGTTAGAGTGAGAGCGCCATGTTAGAGTGAGAGCGCCATGTTAGAGTGAGAGCGCCATGTTAGAGTGAGAGCGCCATGTTAGAGTGAGGGCGCCATGTTAGAGTGAGGGTGCCATGTTAGAGTGAGGGTGCCATGTTAGAGTGAGAGCGCCATGTTAGAGTGAGAGCGCCATGTTAGAGTGAGGGCGCCATGTTAGAGTGAGGGCGCCATGTTAGAGTGAGGGTGCCATGTTAGAGTGAGAGCGCCATGTTAGAGTGAGAGCGCCATGTTAGAGTGAGAGCGCCATGTTAGAGTGAGAGCGCCATGTTAGAGTGAGAGCGCCATGTTAGAGTGAGTGCGCCATGTTAGAGTGAGGGTGCCATGTTAGAGTGAGGGTGCCATGTTAGAGTGAGAGCGCCATGTTAGAGTGAGAGCGCCATGTTAGAGTGAGGGCGCCATGTTAGAGTGAGGGCGCCATGTTAGAGTGAGGGTGCCATGTTAGAGTGAGGGTGCCATGTTAGAGTGAAGGTGTCATGTTAGAGTGAGTGTGCCATGTTAGAGTGAGGGTGCCATGTTAGAGTGAAGGTGCCATGTTAGAGTGAGGGTGCCATGTTAGAGTGAGGGTGTCATGTTAGTGTGAAGGTGTCATGTTAGAGTGAGTGTGCCATGTTAGAGTGAGGGTGCCATGTTAGAGTGAAGGTGCCATGTTAGAGTGAGGGTGCCATGTTAGAGTGAGGGTGCCATGTTAGAGTGAAGGTGTCTTGTTAGTGTGAGGGTGCCATGTTAGAGTGAAGGTGCCATGTTAGAGTGAAGGTGCGATGTTAGAGTGAAGGTGCCATGTTAGAGTGAGGGTGTCATGTTAGAGTGAGGGTGCCATGTTAGAGTGAGGGTGCCATGTTAGAGTGAAGGTGCCATGTTAGAGTGAGGGTGTCATGTTAGAGTGAGGGTGCCATGTTAGAGTGAGGGTGCCATGTTAGAGTGAAGGTGCCATGTTAGAGTGAGGGTGTCATGTTAGAGTGAGGGTGTCATGTTAGAGTGAGGGTGCCATGTTAGAGTGAGGGTGCCATGTTAGAGTGAAGGTGCCATGTTAGAGTGAGGGTGCCATGTTAGAGTGAGGGTGTCATGTTAGAGTGAGGGTGCCATGTTAGAGTGAGGGTGCCATGTTAGAGTGAGGGTGCCATGTTAGAGTGAAGGTGCCATGTTAGAGTGAAGGTGCCATGTTAGAGTGAGGGTGCCATGTTAGAGTGAAGGTGCCATGTTAGAGTGAAGGTGCCATGTTAGAGTGAGGGTGTCATGTTAGAGTGAAGGTGCCATGTTAGAGTGAGGGTGCCATGTTAGAGTGAGTGTGCCATGTTAGAGTGAAGGTGCCATGTTAGAGTGAGGGTGCCATGTTAGATTGAGGGTGCCATGTTAGAGTGAAGGTGCCATGTTAGAGTGAGGGTGCCATGTTAGAGTGAGGGTGTCATGTTAGAGTGAGGGTGTCATGTTAGAGTGAGGGTGTCATGTTAGAGTGAGGGTGTCATGTTAGTGTGAGGGTGCCATGTTAGAGTGAGGGTGCCATGTTAGAGTGAGGGTGTCATGTTAGAGTGAGGGTGTCATGTTAGAGTGAGGGTGTCATGTTAGAGTGAGGGTGTCATGTTAGAGTGAGGGTGTCATGTTAGAGTGAGGGTGTCATGTTAGAGTGAGGGTGTCATGTTAGAGTGAGGGTGTCATGTTAGAGTGAAGGTGCCATGTTAGAGTGAGGGTGTCATGTTAGAGTGAGGGTGCCATGTTAGAGTGAGGGTGCCATGTTAGAGTGAGGGTGCCATGTTAGAGTGAGGGTGCCATGTTAGAGTGAAGGTGCCATGTTAGAGTGAGGGTGCCATGTTAGAGTGAGGGTGCCATGTTAGAATGAGGGTGCCATGTTAGAGTGAGAGTGTCATGTTAGAGTGAGTGTGTCATGTTAGAGTGAGTGTGTCATGTTAGAGTGAAGGTGCCATGTTAGAGTGAGGGTGCCATGTTAGAGTGAGGGTGCCATGTTAGAGTGAGGGTGCCATGTTAGAGTGAGGGTGTCATGTTAGAGTGAGGGTGTCATGTTAGAGTGAAGGTGCCATGTTAGAGTGAAGGTGTCATGTTAGAGTGAAGGCGCCATGTTAGAGTGAGAGTGTCATGTTAGAGTGAGGGTGCCATGTTAGAGTGAGGGTGCCATGTTAGAGTGAGGGTGCCATGTTAGAGTGAGAGCGCCATGTTAGAGTGAGAGCGCCATGTTAGAGTGAGAGCGCCATGTTAGAGTGAGGGCGCCATGTTAGAGTGAGGGTGCCATGTTAGAGTGAGGGTGCCATGTTAGAGTGAGGGTGTCATGTTAGAGTGAGGGTGTCATGTTAGAGTGAAGGTGCCATGTTAGAGTGAAGGTGTCATGTTAGAGTGAAGGTGCCATGTTAGAGTGAAGGTGTCATGTTAGAGTGAAGGTGCCATGTTAGAGTGAGAGTGTCATGTTAGAGTGAGGGTGCCATGTTAGAGTGAGGGTGCCATGTTAGAGTGAGAGCGCCATGTTAGAGTGAGAGCGCCATGTTAGAGTGAGGGCGCCATGTTAGAGTGAGGGTGCCATGTTAGAGTGAGGGTGCCATGTTAGAGTGAGAGCGCCATGTTAGAGTGAGAGCGCCATGTTAGAGTGAGAGCGCCATGTTAGAGTGAGAGCGCCATGTTAGAGTGAGGGTGCCATGTTAGAGTGAGGGTGCCATGTTAGAGTGAGGGTGCCATGTTAGAGTGAGAGCGCCATGTTAGAGTGAGAGCGCCATGTTAGAGTGAGGGCGCCATGTTAGAGTGAGGGCGCCATGTTAGAGTGAGGGTGCCATGTTAGAGTGAGGGTGCCATGTTAGAGTGAGAGCGCCATGTTAGAGTGAGAGCGCCATGTTAGAGTGAGAGCGCCATGTTAGAGTGAGAGCGCCATGTTAGAGTGAGAGCGCCATGTTAGAGTGAGTGCGCCATGTTAGAGTGAGGGTGCCATGTTAGAGTGAGGGTGCCATGTTAGAGTGAGAGCGCCATGTTAGAGTGAGAGCGCCATGTTAGAGTGAGGGCGCCATGTTAGAGTGAGGGCGCCATGTTAGAGTGAGGGCGCCATGTTAGAGTGAGAGCGCCATGTTAGAGTGAGGGTGCCATGTTAGAGTGAGGGTGCCATGTTAGAGTGAGGGTGCCATGTTAGAGTGAGGGTGCCATGTTAGAGTGAGAGTGCCATGTTAGTGTGAGGGTGTCATGTTAGAGTGAGGGTGTCATGTTAGAGTGAGGGTGCCATGTTAGAGTGAGTGTGCCATGTTAGAGTGAGGGTGCCATGTTAGAGTGAGGGTGCCATGTTAGAGTGAGGGTCTCATGTTAGAGTGAGGGTGTCATGTTAGAGTGAGGGTGCCATGTTAGAGTGAGGGTGCCATGTTAGAGTGAGGGTGTCGTGTTAGAGTGAGGGTGCCATGTTAGAGTGAAGGTGTCATGTTAGAGTGAGGGTGCCATGTTAGAGTGAGGGTGCCATGTTAGAGTGAAGGTGCCATGTTAGAGTGAGGGTGCCATGTTAGAGTGAAGGTGCCATGTTAGAGTGAAGGTGTCATGTTAGAGTGAGTGTGCCATGTTAGAGTGAAGGTGCCATGTTAGAGTGAAGGTGCCATGTTAGAGTGAGGGTGCCATGTTAGAGTGAGTGTGCCATGTTAGAGTGAGGGCGCCATGTTAAAGTGAGGGTGCCTTGTTAGGTTAAGGGCACCTGTCTGGAGAGGGCCTCAGCCTGCACGAGGCTGCTGATTGAGAGCGACCCCACCTCCTCATAGCTCGGTCTCCGCAGGGCGATCCGATCTCTCTCATTCTGCACGGCTGCTTGAGGGGGGAGTGAGGGGTTTGGGGTGAGGTGGGGACAGTGGGGAGTAGGGGGTGGCGGTGAGATGATTTTGGGGGTGCAGCACAAGATCGTCAACACCACTCGGCTTATGGGTCAGGCTAGCTGTCCCAGGTGTAGTAAGTCTGAGTTTAATGAGATTTTAAAGAGGTGTAATGGGGGGAGGGAGGGGTTCTCTGGGGTTTTATGGGGTTTTATGGGTCTAATGAGGTTTTTCTGGGTCTTAATGGGTCTAATGGGATTTTATCTGTATTTTAATGGTATTTTCTATGGGGTTTAATGGGAGTTTTTATTGAATTTAATGGAAGTTTCACTGTGTTTTGATGGGATTTCACTGGATATTAGGATTATCTATGAGTTTAATGGAGTTTCTCTGGGTTGTAATGTGTTTAATGTGTTTTAGTGGAAATTTCTATCGATTATTAATGGGGTTATTCCTGATTTAATGGGATTTTTATGGGATTTTCTGTGGTAAATTTTTTGATTTTCAATGCGGTTTAATTACATTTTTTCTGTGTTTTAAAGTAATTTTACGTCGGCTTTTTTACAGAATTACCACTGAGCTTTAATGAGATATTTTCCATGGGTTCCGAATTTAATTTTCTCTCGCTTTTAATAGGGTTTCCCTTTGGGATTAACGGCTTTTCCATCTGATTGCCTCCGCTCACCCTCCTTCTTCATCCCCGCACGGAAGCACTTGCGCAGGCGGCAGTAGCGGCACTGGTTGCGTTTGTCCTTGTCCACCACGCACTGCCGATTGAACCTGGGGGTCAGAGGTCATCCAGGGGAGCGGGTCAAAGGTCATTTGACAAAAAATGTACTCACTGCCAGGTTGTGGTACGGCGAGGGTTATGGTTAGGATAGCTTGACTGGGTATGGTGCGGCTAGGGTTATGGTTAGGCCAGCTAGACCGGGTGTGGTAGGGCTAGGGTTATGGTTAGGTCAGCTAGACCAGGTGTGGTAGGGCTAGGGTTATGGTTAGGCCAGCTAGACCAGGTGTGGTAGGGCTAGGGTTATGGTTAGGCCAGCTAGACCAGGTGTGGTAGGGCTAGGGTTATGGTTAGGCCAGCTAGACCGGGTGTGGTAGCGCTAGGGTTATGGTTAGGCCAGCTAGACCAGGTGTGGTAGGGCTAGGGTTATGGTTAGGCCAGCTAGATCGGGTGTGGTACAGCTAGGGTTATGGTTAGGCCAGCTAGACTGGGTGTGGTAGAGCTAGGGTTATGGTTACGCCAGCTAGACCAGGTGTGGTAGGGCTAGGGTTATGGTTAGGCCAGCTAGACCGGGTGTGGTAGGGCTAGGGTTATGGTTAGGCCAGCTAGACCTGGTGTGGTACAGCTAGGGTTATGGTTAGGCTAGCTAGACCGGGTGTGGTAGGGCTAGGGTTATGGTTAGGCCAGCTAGACCTGGTGTGGTACAGCTAGGGTTATGGTTAGGCTAGCTAGACCGGGTGTGGTAGGGCTAGGGTTATGGTTAGGCCAGCTAGACCTGGTGTGGTACAGCTAGGGGTATGGTTAGGCTAGCTAGACCGGGTGTGGTACAGCTAGGGTTATGGTTAGGCTAGCTAGACCGGGTGTGGTACAGCTAGGGTTATGGTTAGGCTAGCTAGACCGGGTGTGGTACAGCTAGGGTTAGGGTTAGGCTAGCTAGACCGGGTGTGGTACAGCTAGGGTTATGGTTAGGCTAGCTAGACCGGGTGTGGTACAGCTAGGGTTATGGTCAGGCCAGCTAGACCGGGTGTGGTAGGGCTAGGGTTATGGTTAGGCAAGCTAGACCGGGTGTGGTACAGCTAGGGTTATGGTTAGGCCAGCTAGACCGGGTGTGGTACAGCTAGGGCTATGGTTAGGCCAGCTTGACCGGGTGTGGTACAGCTAGGGTTATGGTTAGGCCAGCTAGACCAGGTGTGGTACAGCTAGGGCTATGGTTAGGCCAGCTTGACCGGGTGTGGTACAGCTAGGGTTATGGTTAGGCCAGCTAGACCAGGTGTGGTACAGCTAGGGTTATGGTCAGGCCAGCTAGACCGGGTGTGGTAGGGCTAGGGTTATGGTTAGGCCAGCTAGACTGGGTGTGGTACGGCTAGGATTATGGTTAGGCCAGCTAGACCAGGTGTGGTAGGGCTAGGGTTATGGTTAGGCCAGCTAGACCAGGTGTGGTAGGGCTAGGGTTATGGTTAGGCCAGCTAGACTGGCTGCAGTATGGCTAGGGCAGGGGTCGGCAACCTGCAGCTTCAGAGCTGCACGTGGCTCTTCAATCTAAGGAGTGCTTCGTGACGTTACTCATTAAGGACCACTGTCTCGCATTCACATACAGTGCAGTTTAAAAAAAATAGTTTTTACCAAATTCGAACGAAAAATGGCAAAGGTTATGGTTAGGTTAGCTTGACCGGGTGTGGTACGGCTTTTGTTATGGTTAGGTTAGCTTGACTGCGTTTGGAATGGCTAGGTTTACCACCCGTCCTGGTTGATTTTTTTCCTAGGGTCGTCAAAATATCACAACAAACAACAACGAGCGGTCGGTTTGGTCAGAGAAACGCCACCGGCTGGAGAGACGGGCAGGGTGCGAGGGGTGGCAGTGGTGTCCAGAGCGAGCCATTCCGGGGTGATTGTAGCTACTTGGATTCCCCGGTACGATCCCCGCTCAAGGCCTGTGCCGGGCTTTGGCCGCGTGGCCGGGCGGCGGGGGGGGAGCATCTGGGATTAGTGTGGGGTGACGGGGGCCTGCATGGGAGGGTTTGCGGTTTGCGTTAATGGGTAACTCATTTAGCCGCCCCATCGCCCGCCCCCACTCCGCCACTGCAGGTGAGCGTTGGGTACGCACGGAGCGACCTTGGCTGCTACTATCGGGGCAGTAAAGTGGAGATAGCAGCGGGGTCGTAAAATCGACATCCCACGTCGTCGTCGACGCCTCGTGGGTTTTGGCAGAGGCCGCACGAACGAATCCCCGGGGCGCTCGGCCGAGAGGGAGGGAGGGAGGCGGTGGTGGCGGTGGCGACGCCGCCCAAACCGCACGCAGGTGAACACGCAGGTGGACACACAGGTGAACACGCAGGTGAACACGCAGGTGGACACGCAGGTGAACACGCAGGTGGACACACAGGTGGACACAAAGGTGGACACGCAGGTGAACACGCAGGTGGACATGCAGGTGGACACAAAGGTGGACACGCAGGTGGACACACAGGTGAACACGCAGGTGAACACGCAGGTGAACACACAGGTGGACACACAGGTGAACACGCAGGTGCACACGCAGGTGAACACGCAGGTGCACACACAGGTGAACACACAGGTGAACACACAGGTGGACATGCAGGTGGACACACAGGTGGACACACAGGTGAACACACAGGTGAACACGCAGGTGGACACACAGGTGGACACACAGGTGGACACAGGAGGACACACAGGTGAACACACAGGTGGACACACAGGTGGACACACAGGTGAACACAGGTGAACACACAGGTGGACACACAGGTGGACACACAGGTGAACACACAGGTGGACACGCAGGTGAACACACAGGTGAACACACAGGTGAACACACAGGTGGACACACAGGTGAACACACAGGTGAACACACAGGTGGACACACAGGTGGACACACAGGTGGACACGTGTGCACGCGCGAGCGCCCATCCCATCACCCGCACGGCCCTTCCTCCATTGGTTGAACGCAGGCAAGCTCAGGACAGGTGTGTCATCAGCAGAGTCAGGCTATGCTTGAATCAATGCTGCAGGCAGCGGTGCACTACAGGCGGTGCGCTACTACAGGCGGTACACTAGGGGCCGTCCATAAATGACGTCACGCACCTAGGGGAGGGTCAGACATTTGTGACGATGTGTGACGTCAAAATGCGCAACTTTAAATAAATATAGAATTGTTATAACAAGACTCCTACAATATCAGAGTGCAGCGCCACATTAAACACGCACTACGATGACAATAGTTTAAAGCGATTTTAAACATGTTTTATTTTCAAAATGGAAATATGGTTTTGGGGGGGGGGGGCGCGGGGGGCAGAGCTTTGTGACGTCATATTTGAGGGGGGGGTCTGGCTTATTGTGACGCCGTGTGACGAGGGGAGGGGGGGGTCAAAAATCGTCTAAAATCGCGTGACGTCATTTATGGACGGCCCCCTAGAGGGGGTACGCTGCTACAGCTGGTCCGCTGCAGGTGTCACACTGCTACAGGTGGTGTACTACAAGCGGGGTGCTACTACAGGTGGTACGCTGCTACAGGTGGTGTACTACAAGCGGGGTGCTGCTACAGGTGTCACGCTGCTACAGGCGGTGCGCTACGTTTACTACGCCAGGCAGCGCGATACTGAAACTGCAGGCGGGCGCGCCGCTGCCACCGCGGGTGCAAGCGCTGCAGGCGCAAGCGCTGCAGGTTGCAAGCGCTGCAGGTTGCAAGCGCTGCAGGTGCAAGCACTGCAGGTGCAAGCGCTGTAGGTTGCACCTGCAGGTGCAAGCGCTGCGGGTTGCAAGCGCTGCAGGTGCAAGCGCTGCAGGTGCAAGCGCTGCGGGTTGCAAGCGCTGCAGGTTGCAAGCACTGCAGGTGCAAGCGCTGCAGGTGCAAGCGCTGCAGGTTGCAAGCGCTGCAGGTGCAAGCGCTGCAAGTGCAAGCGCTGCAGGTTGCAAGCGCTGCAGGTTGCAAGCGCTGCAGGTGCAAGCGCTGCAGGTGCAAGCGCTGCAGGTTGCAAGCGCTGCAGGTTGCAAGCGCTGCAGGTGCAAGCGCTGCAGGTGCAAGCGCTGCGGGTGCAAGCGCTGCGGGTTGCAAGCACTGCAGGTGCAAGCGCTGCAGGTTGCAAGCGCTGCAGGTGCAAGCGCTGCAGGTGCAAGCGCTGCAGGTTGCAAGCGCTGCAGGTGCAAGCGCTGCAGGTGCAAGCGCTGCAGGTGCAAGCGCCGCCTCCGCACCTGCAGGTGTAGATGTGGTTCTTGCGCACGCTGCGCCGGAAGAACCCCTTGCAGCCGTCGCAGCTGGAGGCGCCGTAGTGCTTCCCGGTGGCGCGGTCTCCGCAGATGGCGCACGTGGCCACCACGCCGCTCACTAGCACGCCCGCCCCGGGGCCCCCGGGCCCCACGGAGTCCGAGGGCCCATGCACACCTGGGGGGTAGGGGGTGGGGGTGGGGGTAGGGGGGGTGGGGGGGACGGGGTAGGGGGGGGGATGGGGGGTAGGGTGGGGGGGGGGATGGGGGTAGGGGGGTAGGGTGGGGTGGGGGGGGATGGGGTAGGGGGGGTAGGGTGGGGTGGAGGGATGGGGTAGGGGGGTAGGGGGGGGTAGGGTGGGGTGGGGGGTGGGGTAGGGGGGGTAGGGTGGGGTGGGGGGGGATGGGGTGGGGGGGTAGGCGGGGGGGTTGGGTGGGGGGGGACGGGGTAGGGGGTGGAAGAGTTCAAAATAAGATTAACACGTAGGAGGCTTCTTCTTGGTTCTTTCGGTAAAGTCACGTAGAAGGGAAATAATAAAATAATAAAAATAAAACATAATAAAATACAATCCTCACGACGTTTCAGCTGTCCTAATGAACACGTGTTCTGTCGGGAAGACAGCGTCCGAATGAACACGTGTTCATTCAGACGCTGTCTTACCGACAGCCCTGTTCTTCACCTGAGGACGGCTGCTTGCGTTGTGGCCGAAACGTCGTGAGAATTTTATTTTGTTTTATTTGTATTAGGCGCAGCTCCTGCAAGTGCTCCGTCGCGCCCCTGCTGGCGGAAGCTCTGGCGTTTGTAAGAGGTGGGGTGTATGTACTGAATTGTGGAACTTCTTTCGCACCGTACCTTGCCAACCGCGATAATCGGAGGTGCGGAGGAAGGACCGCAAACGACACGAAAAGGAGTTCAAAAAAAATTAGTTTTCAATCTAAATATAAAAGTGCATCCGCTCCCAGTGGCTTCCTCATATCGGAAGGGAGAGCGTTCCAGACGGCTGCAGAAGCGCGTCTGAAGGCGCCGCGCGATGCGGCGACCACCGTTGTCGTACCCACACTATACCCCACACCACACGCACACTGCGAATCCACTCTGCTGAGTGGACAGATGGCACTCATCTGTAACATCACTCACCTCCAACATCACTCGCCTTCAACATCACTCATCTGTAACATCACTCGCCTTCAACATCACTCATCTGTAACATCACTCACTCACCTGTAACATCACTCGCCTTCAACATCACTCATCTGTAACATCACTCACCTCCAACATCACTCGCCTTCAACATCACTCATCTGTAACATCACTCACTTCTAACATCGCTCACTCACCTCCAACATCACTTGTAACATCACTTCCCTGTAACATCACTCACTCACCTGTAACATCACTCACTCACCTGTAACATCGCTCGTAACATCACTCCCCTGTAACATCACTCACTCACCTGTAACATCGCTCGTAACATCACTCCCCTGTAACATCACTCACTCACCTGTAACATCACTCACTCACCTGTAACATCGCTCGTAACATCACTCATCTGTAACATCACTCACCTTCAACATCACTCGTAACATCACTCACCTTCAACATCACTCGTAACATCACTCATCTGTAACATCACTCGTAACATCACTCACCTTCAACATCACTCGTAACATCACTCACCTCCAACATCACTCGCCTTCAACATCACTCACTCAACTGTAACATCACTCACCTCTATCATTGCTCAACTGTAACATCACTCGTAACATCACTCACCTGTAACATCACCTTTAACATCACTCGTAACATCGCTCACTCGCCTGTAACATCAATCACTCTTAACATCACTCACTCACCTGTAACATCACCTGTAACATCACTCGTAACATCACTCACCTCTAACATCACTCGTAACATCGCTCACTCGCCTGTAACATCAATCACTCGTAACATCACTCACTCACCTATAACATCACTCACTCACCTATAACATCACTCACTCACCTGTAACATCACTCATATGTAACATCGCTCGCTCACCTCTATGCACATCTAGATCGACATTTTTTTTCAGCGCTGCTTATTGCGTGCGCTAGTTTGTTGCCCTTCCCCCGCACCTCCGATTGGCACGGATTGGCTACGTACGGTGCGAAAAAAGTTCAACACACACCACTCGCCGATAACATCACTCGCCCAAGTGCAACATTGCCCACTCGTCTGTAAACATCGCGGTGTGGATCACTCGGTCCCACTGGACACAAGCAGGTCCCAGAACCCCTCTGTGAGGTTCCTGAAGAGACTCACTCGGTCCCACTGGACACAAACAGGTCCCCAGAACCACTCTGTGAGGTTCCTGAAGAGACTCACTCGGTCCCACTGGACACAAACAGGTCCCCATAACCCTCTGTGAGGTTCCTCAAGAGACTCACTCAGTCCCACTGGACACAAACAGGTCCCCAGAACCCCTCTGTAAGGTTCCTCAAGAGACTCACTCGGACTCACTGGACACAAACAGGTCCCCAGAACCCCTCTGTGAGGTTCCTCAAGAGACTCACTCAGTTCTACTGGACACAAACAGGTCCCCAGAACCTCTCTGTGAGGTTCCTCAAGAGACTCACTCGGTCCCACTGGACACAAGCAGGTCCCAGAACCCCTCTGTGAGGTTCCTGAAGAGACTCACTCGGTCCCAAAACAGGTCCCCAGAACCCCTCTGTGAGGTTCCTAAGAGACTCACTCGGTCCCACTGGACACAAACAGGTCCCCAGAACCCCTCTGTGAGGTTCCTCAAGAGACTCACTCGGTCCCAAACAGGTCCCCAGAACCCCTCTGTGAGGTTCCTGAAGAGACTCACTCGGTCCCACTGGACACAAGCAGGTCCCCAGAACCCCTCTGTGAGGTTCCTCAAGAGACTCACTCGGTCCCACTGGACACAAACAGGTCCCCAGAACCCCTCTGTGAGGTTCTTCAAGAGACTCACGCGGTCCCACTGGACACAAACAGATCCCCAGAACCCCTCTGTGAGGTTCCTCAAGAGACTCACTCGGTCCCACTGGACACAAACAGATCCCCAGAACCCTCTGTGAGGTTCCTCAAGAGACTCACTCGGTCCCACTGGAAACAAACAGATCCCAGAACCCCTCTGTGAGGTTCCTCAAGAAACTCACTCGGTCCCACTGGACACAAACAGGTCCCAGAACCCCTCTGTGAGGTTCCTCAAGAAACTCACTCGGTCCCACTGGACACAAACAGGTCCCCAGAACCCCTCTGTGAGGTTTCTCAAGAGACTCACTCGGTCCCACTGGACACAAACAGATCCCCAGAACCCCTCTGTGAGGTTCCTCAAGAGACTCACTCGGTTCCACTGGACACAAGCAGGTCCCCAGAACCCCTCTGTGAGGTTCCTCAGGAGACTCACTCGATCCCACTGGACACAAACAGGTCCCTAGAACCCCTCTGTGAGGTTCCTCAAGAGACTCACTCGGTCCCACTGGAACACAAACAGATCCCAGAACCCCTCTGTGAGGTTCCTCAAGAAACTCACTCGGTCCCACTGGACACAAACAGGTCCCTAGAACCCCTCTGTGAGGTTCCTCAAGAGACTCACTCGGTCCCACTGGACACAAGCAGGTCCCAGAACCCCTCTGTGAGGTTCCTCAAGAGACTCACTCGGTCCCACTGGACACAAACATGTCCCCAGAACCCCTCCGTGAGGTTCCTCAAGAGACTCACTCGGTCCCACTGGACACAAACAGGTCCCCAGAAACCCCTCCGTGAGGTTCCTCAAGAGACTCACTCGGTCCCACTGGACACAAACAGGTCCCCAGAACCCCTCTGTGAGGTTCTTCAGGAGACTCACTCGGTCCCACTGGACACAAACAGGTCCCCAGAACCCCTCTGTGAGGTTCCTCAAGAGACTCACTCGGTCCCACTGGACACAAAACAGGTCCCCAGAACCCCTCTGTAGGTTCCTCAAGAGACTCACTCGGACTCACTGGACACAAACAGGTCCCAGAACCCCTCTGTGAGGTTCCTCAAGAGACTCACTCAGTTCCACTGGACACAAACAGGTCCCCCAGAACCCCTCTGTGAGGTTCCTCAAGAGACTCACTCGGTCCCACTGGACACAAGCAGGTCCCAGAACCCCTCTGTGAGGTTCCTGAAGAGACTCACTCGGTCCAAAAACAGGTCCCCAGAACCCCTCTGTGAGGTTCCTAAGAGACTCACTCGGTCCCACTGGACACAAACAGGTCCCCAGAACCCCTCTGTGAGGTTCCTCAAGAGACTCACTCGGTCCCAAACAGGTCCCCAGAACCCCTCTGTGAGGTTCCTGAAGAGACTCACTCGGTCCCACTGGACACAAGCAGGTCCCCAGAACCCCTCTGTGAGGTTCCTCAAGAGACTCACTCGGTCCCACTGGACACAAACAGGTCCCCAGAACCCCTCTGTGAGGTTCTTCAAGAGACTCACGCGGTCCCACTGGACACAAACAGATCCCCAGAACCCCTCTGTGAGGTTCCTCAAGAGACTCACTCGGTCCCACTGGACACAAACAGATCCCCAGAACCCCTCTGTGAGGTTCCTCAAGAGACTCACTCGGTCCCACTGGAAACAAACAGATCCCAGAACCCCTCTGTGAGGTTCCTCAAGAAACTCACTCGGTCCCACTGGACACAAACAGGTCCCAGAACCCCTCTGTGAGGTTCCTCAAGAAACTCACTCGGTCCCACTGGACACAAACAGGTCCCCAGAACCCCTCTGTGAGGTTTCTCAAGAGACTCACTCGGTCCCACTGGACACAAACAGATCCCCAGAACCCCTCTGTGAGGTTCCTCAAGAGACTCACTCGGTTCCACTGGACACAAGCAGGTCCCCAGAACCCCTCTGTGAGGTTCCTCAGGAGACTCACTCGATCCCACTGGACACAAACAGGTCCCTAGAACCCCTCTGTGAGGTTCCTCAAGAGACTCACTCGGTCCCACTGGACACAAACAGATCCCAGAACCCCTCTGTGAGGTTCCTCAAGAAACTCACTCGGTCCCACTGGACACAAACAGGTCCCTAGAACCCCTCTGTGAGGTTCCTCAAGAGACTCACTCGGTCCCACTGGACACAAGCAGGTCCCAGAACCCCTCTGTGAGGTTCCTCAAGAGACTCACTCGGTCCCACTGGACACAAACAGGTCCCCAGAACCCCTCCGTGAGGTTCCTCAAGAGACTCACTCGGTCCCACTGGACACAAACAGGTCCCCAGAACCCCTCCGTGAGGTTCCTCAAGAGACTCACTCGGTCCCACTGGACACAAACAGGTCCCCAGAACCCCTCTGTGAGGTTCTTCAGGAGACTCACTCGGTCCCACTGGACACAAACAGGTCCCCAGAACCCCTCTGTGAGGTTCCTCAAGAGACTCACCTCGGTCCCACTGGACACAAACAGGTCCCCAGAACCCCTCTGTGAGGTTCCTGAAGAGACTCACCTCGGTCTCACTGGACACAAGCAGGTCCCAGAACCCCTCTGTGAGGTTCTTCAAGAGACTCACTCGGTCCCACTGGACACAAACAGATCCCAGAACCCCTCTGTGAGGTTCCTCAAGAAACTCACTCGGTCCCACTGGACACAAACAGGTCCCCAGAACCCCTCCGTGAGGTTCCTCAAGAGACTCACTCGGTCCCACTGGACACAAACAGGTCCCCAGAACCCCTCCGTGAGGTTCCTCAAGAGACTCACTCGGTCCCACTGGACACAAACAGGTCCCCAGAACCCCTCCGTGAGGTTCCTCAAGAGACTCACTCGGTCCCAAAGCAGGTCCCCAGAACCCCTCTGTGAGGTTCCTCAAGAGACTCACTCGGTCCCACTGGACACAAACAGGTCCCCAGAACCCCTCCGTGAGGTTCCTCAAGAGACTCACTCGGTCCCACTGGACACAAACAGGTCCCCAGAACCCCTCCGTGAGGTTCCTCAAGAAACTCACTCGGTCCCACTGGACACAAACAGGTCCCCAGAACCCCTCCGTGAGGTTCCTCAAGAGACTCACTCGGTCCCAAAGCAGGTCCCCAGAACCCCTCTGAGGTTCCTGAAGAGATTCACTCTATCCCACTGGACACAAACAGGTCCCCAGAACCCCTCTGTGAGGTTCCTCTAGCGACTCACTCGGTCCCAAAGCAGGTCCCCAGAACCCCTCTGTGAGGTTCCTCTAGCGACTCACTCGGTCCCAAAGCAGGTCCCCAGAACCCCTCTGTGAGGTTCCTCTAGCGACTCACTCGGTCCCAAACCAGGTCCCCAGAACCCCTCTGTGAGGTTCCTCAAGAGACTCACTCGGTCCCAAAGCAGGTCCCCAGAACCCCTCTGTGAGGTTCCTCTAGCGACTCACTCGGTCCCAAAGCAGGTCCCCAGAACCCCTCTGTGAGGTTCCTCAAGAGACTCACTCGGTCCCAAAGCAGGTCCCCAGAACCCCTCTGTGAGGTTCCTCTAGCGACTCACTCGGTCCCAAAGCAGGTCCCCAGAACCCCTCTGTGAGGTTCCTCAAGAGACTCACTCGGTCCCAAAGCAGGTCCCCAGAACCCCTCTGTGAGGTTCCTCTAGCGACTCACTCAGGTCCCAAAGCAGGTCCCCAGAACCCCTCTGTGAGGTTCCTCAAGAGACTCACTCGGTCCCAAAGCAGGTCCCCAGAACCCCTCTGTGAGGTTCCTCAAGAGACTCACTCGGTCCCAAAGCAGGTCCCCAGAACCCCTCTGTGAGGTTCCTCTAGCGACATCACTCGGTCCCAAAGCAGGTCCCCAGAACCCCTCTGTGAGGTTCCTCAAGAGACTCACTCGGTCCCAAAGCAGGTCCCCAGAACCCCTCTGTGAGGTTCCTCAGAGACTCACATCGGTCCCAAAGCAGGTCCCCAGAACCCCTCTGAGTTCCTGAAGAGATTCACTCCATCCCACTGGACACAAACAGGTCCCCCAGAACCCCTCTGTGAGGTTCCTCTAGCGACTCACTCGGTCCCAAAGCAGGTCCCCAGAACCCCTCTGTGAGGTTCCTCTAGCGACTCACTCGGTCCCAAAGCAGGTCCCCAGAACCCCTCTGTGAGGTTCCTCTAGCGACTCACTCGGTCCCAAAGCAGGTCCCCAGAACCCCTCTGTGAGGTTCCTCAAGAGACTCACTCGGTCCCAAAGCAGGTCCCCAGAACCCCTCTGTGAGGTTCCTCTAGCGACTCACTCGGTCCCAAAGCAGGTCCCCAGAACCCCTCTGTGAGGTTCCTCAAGAGACTCACTCGGTCCCAAAGCAGGTCCCCAGAACCCCTCTGTGAGGTTCCTCTAGCGACTCACTCGGTCCCAAAGCAGGTCCCCAGAACCCCCTCTGTGAGGTTCCTCAAGAGACTCACTCGGTTCCCAAGCAGGCCCCAGAACCCCTCTGTGAGGTCCTCTAGCGACTCACTCTGGTCCCAAAGCAGGTCCCCAGAACCCCTCTGTGAGGTTCCTCAAGAGACTCACTCGTCCCAAAGCAGGTCCCCAGAACCCCTCTGTGAGGTTCCTCAAGAGACTCACTCGGTCCCAAAGCAGGTCCCCAGAACCCCTCTGTGAGGTTCCTCTAGCGACTCACTCGGTCCCAAAGCAGGTCCCCAGAACCCCTCTGTGAGGTTCCTCAAGAGACTCACTCGGTCCCAAAGCAGGTCCCCAGAACCCCTCTGTGAGGTTCCTCAAGAGACTCACTCGGTCCCAAAGCAGGTCCCCAGAACCCCTCTGTGAGGTTCCTCTAGCGACTCACTCGGTCCCAAAGCAGGTCCCCAGAACCCCTCTGTGAGGTTCCTCTAGCGACTCACTCGGTCCCAAAGCAGGTCCCCAGAACCCCTCTGTGAGGTTCCTCAAGAGACTCACTCGGTCCCAAAGCAGGTACCCAGAACCCCTCTGTGAGGTTCCTCAAGAGACTCACTCGGTCCCAAAGCAGGTCCCCAGAACCCCTATGTGAGGTTCCTCTAGCGACTCACTCGGTCCCAAAGCAGGTCCCCAGAACCCCTCTGTGAGGTTCCTCTAGCGACTCACTCGGTCCCAAAGCAGGTCCCCAGAACCCCTCTGTGAGGTTCCTCTAGCGACTCACTCGGTCCCAAAGCAGGTCCCCAGAACCCCTCTGTGAGGTTCCTCAAGAGACTCACTCGGTCCCAAAGCAGGTCCCCAGAACCCCTCTGTGAGGTTCCTCTAGCGACTCACTCGGTCCCAAAGCAGGTCCCCAGAACCCCTCTGTGAGGTTCCTCTAGCGACTCACTCGGTCCCAAAGCAGGTCCCCAGAACCCCTCTGTGAGGTTCCTCTAGCGACTCACTCGGTCCCAAAGCAGGTCCCCAGAACCCCTCTGTGAGGTCCCTGAAGATAGAGGTGTAAGGGAGGCAGTATCCGTGAGGTCCATCAAGGGGGGGGAGGAAGGGGGTTGCTGAGAGGGGTCCCTGTTGGGGGTCTCACCGTGAGGGGACCCCACGCCCTGCTGCTGGTCCCCGTGAAACTCCATGAGACGCGAGAAATCGGGGTCGAGAGCGGGGAAGTCGGACATGATGTCCGCGGTGAGACGTGGCGACAGGCGCATCCTCCTCCACCTCCTCCCCGCCCGGCTCGCCTCACCACTCCCCTCACCACTTGCCTCACCACTCGCCTCACCACTCCCCTCACCACTCGCCTCACCACTTGCCTCACCACTCGCCTCACCACTTGCCTCACCACTCGCCTCACCACTTGCCTCACCACTCGCCTCACCACTCCCTCACCACTTGCCTCACCACTCGCCTCACCACTCCCCTCACCACTTGCCTCACCACTCGCCTCACCACTCCCCTCACCACTCGCCTCACCACTTGCCTCACCACTCGCCTCACCACTCGCCTCACCACTCGCCTCACCACTCCCCTCACCACTTTCCTCACCACTCCCCTCACCACTCGCCTCACCACTTTGCCTCGCCTCCTCACCTTTTACCCCGCTGCCTGCCTCTAATCTGCCTCTCACCTGAATTCCTCACCTGTTCCGCCAAAACACTCCTCTCACCACTCGCCTCACCACTTGCCTCACCACTCCCCTCACCACTCGCCTCACCACTCTGCTCACCACTCCCCTCACCACTCGCCTCACCACTTTGCCTCGCCTCCTCACCTTTTACCCCGCTGCCTGCCTCTAATCTACCTCTCACCTGACTTCCTCACCTGTTCCGCCAAAACACTCCCCTCACCACTTGCCTCACCACTTGCCTCACCACTCGCCTCACCACTCGCCTCACCACTCGCCTCACCACTCCCCTCACCACTTTGCCTCGCCTCCTCACCTTTTACCCCGCTGCTTGCCTCACCCTCCAGGGATCGCTCACCTTGCTCCTCACCTAATTCCAACTCGGCCCGTCAAAACACTCTCCACCTCACCCCCAGGGATAATCTTACCTCACTCGCCTCTCTCCTCACCCCTCCCAGGCACCCTCACCCTGTCACTCACCTCAATCCTCACCCCCAGGGACACTCACCGATCACTTCACAGTGACGCTCACCTCAACCACCTAACCCTCACCACCTAACCATCACCACCCAATATCACTCGCCGAACCCGAATGCTCACCCCTTTGAGACGTACGCTCCCCTCACTCTGCTCCTCACCACTTAGAGACACTCACCCCTCACCTCACCCCTTCTTACACACTCGGCCACTAGTGATGCCTGCCGATGGCGCCTGCTCACCCCGGCCATGCGAGTCGAGCGAGCGCGGGGGTAAGTGAATGGGTGAGTGAATTGGTGAGTGGGTGAGTGAACGGGTGAGTGAATGGGTGAGTGAATGGGTGAATGGGTGAGTGGGTGAGTGAATGGGTGAGTGAATGGGTGAACGGGTGAGTGAATGGGTGAGTGAATGGGTGAGTGGGTGAGTGGACGGGTGAGTGAATGGGTGAGTGAACGGGTGAGTGAATTGGTGAGTGAACGGGTGAGTGGGTGAGTGAATGGGTGAGTGAATGGGTGAGTGAACGGGTGAGTGAACGGGTGAGTGATAGGGTGAGTGAATGGGTGAGTGAACGAATGAGTGAACGGGTGAGTGAATGGGTGAGTGATCGGGTGAGTGAATGGGTGAGTGAACGGGTAAGCGAACGGGTGAGTGAACGGGTGAGTGAACGGGTGAGTGAATGGGTGAGTAAACGGGTGAGTGAACGGGTGAGTGAATGGGTGCGAACGGGTGAACGGTGAGTGAACGGTGAGTGAACGGGTGAGTGTAATTGTCGCGAGTGTTGGTGAGTGCGAGGGAGTGTGAGGGTGAGTGAGAGGGTGGACTAGCTTGAATGAGGGTAAGTGTGAGGGCGAGCCTGCGTGGTGAGGGTGAGTTTGAATGACGGTGAGTAGAGGGGTGTGCATGAGCAAGGGGGTGAGTGCGAGTTGGTGAGTGTGATTGCAGGTGTGAGGGCGAGCGATGGTGACTTCGTGTGACTCTAACGGCGAGCGAGTGTGACGGTGAGTGTTGGTGAGTGATGGTGAGTGTTGGTGAGTGATGGTGAGTGTTGGTGAGTGATCACACGACCGGTACCCGTGTTGCTTCGATCTACGCTTTCCCCAAACAACACCGAAAAGTTACTTCCCCCCCCCCCCCAGTAACACCCCCAGGGTCATCCCCCACCACCCCCTCACGCCCCCCTCACCCCACGTGTGTCAAGCCAGTGCCGTGTGTGTGTGCGCGTGCGTGTGTGTGTGTGGGTGTGTGTGTGCGTGTGTGTGTGTGCGTGTGTGGTGCGTGTGTGTGTGGTGCGTGTGTGTGCGTGTGTGTGTGTGGTGTGTGCGTGTGTGTGCGTGTTTTTGTGTGGTGTGTGTGCGTGTTTGTGTGCGTGTGTGTATGTGTGTGTGTGGTGCGTGTGTGTGCGTGCGTGTGTGCGTGTGTGGGTGTGTGTGTGCGCGTGTGTGTGCGTGTGTGTGTGGTGTGTGTGTGCGCGTGTGTGTGTGCTTGTGTGTGCGTGTGTGCGTGTGTGTGCGCGTATGTGTGTGCGTGTGTGTGTGTGTG